TTGCTATTGCTATTGCTATTGCTAAGATTCAGCCGAGAGGGAGAGAGAGTTTCTACAATATCTTAAGTTTTTGTCTGTTTTTCAGATCTGACCTACGAGTTGACTCTCAAAAGTTCAGACTTGACAGGTGAGGCATCTGAACTACTCGCATACACCTTCCTTACGTACTTAAGGTACTCCTTAAACCTTGTGGGGCATTGTCACTGCTGCTGTTTTTTTAATTAGATGTTGGTTTCTGAATCAAATCCCATTATTTTCCTCTTCATTTCTTTGCTGGCAACCTTGGGCGGTGCTCTTTAGGGAAGGCAGGAATTCGCCTGCAGTGTGTCAGGGTTCCGACAGATGCCCTAATTAAATCATGAGCCTCGAGCCAAGCTTCAAAAGAAATCCAGTTATTTATTAGGAGCAACATATCGGCAGGTACCCAAGTGAAACCAATTCTGACGCCACGTAATTTACGGCCCAACTATGACCCTGTTCCCCTCCCCCCCTCCTCCCAGGGTGTGTCATAAATCACATTCTCCAACGGAGCACTTTTGTGGGCTGCAGAGATCACTCCCCTCCGGCTGTTTCAGGTAACCTGGGAGACAGCCTTGAGAAAGGTATGCGTGGAATGTGCTGCTGGTTGCGGCTGCCGTGCTGCTCCATCAGTTTTCCCACCTCCTGCCTATGGCAACTCGAGAGCAGGCCAGGGATGCTTTGCAAGTTGATGCAGTGATTTTTTTTCCCCAGGGACCAACGCAGAACAACTGTTCTACTTCTTGGCTTTGGTTCTTAGCTCGCTTCGTGGAATGTCGGCCCCGTCTTGAATTGAAATAAAACCCTCCCTTCTCTCCTTTCAGAAAATGGGATTTCGAGGAGCGAAGAGCTCAGAAGGAAGTGCGAAGAACTGGAGGCCCAGCTCAAAGCAAAGGAGATGGAAAACAATGAATTATTGAAAGAGCTGGAGCAGAAAAACGCCATGATCGCGGTGCTGGAGAACACCATCAAGGAACGGGAGAAGAAATACTTGGAGGAGCTGAAGATGAAGAGCCATAAATTGAACATGCTCTCCAGCGAACTGGAGCAGCGGGCCAGCACCATCGCCTACCTGACCTCCCAGCTCCACGCCACCAAGAAAAAACTCATGAGCTCCAGCGGGACATCGGACAGCTCCCCGTCGGGAAGCCCCGTGCTCTCCGGCTACAAACCCGCTCCTCCCAAAGAGAAGCTCCCGGAAACTCCGCGACGGCGGATGAAGAAGAGTCTTTCCACGCCGCTCAACCCCGAATTCGAGGAGGCCTACCGATTGGGCTCGGATAGCCGTAAGCTGCTGCTGCGGGAGCCGGTGGACGCCATGCCTGACCCCACGCCCTTCTTACTGGCCAGGGAGTCCACCGAGCTGCACCTTCTGAAAGAGAGGCCTTTGGTCATCCCGCCCATCCCGTCCGAGCGCACTTCGTCCGAGCCCCACAGCCCGGCCCGGGAGAGGCAGCACAAGAGCCACGTGGGGGTGGCCCACCGTATCCACCACGTCCCTCCCGCCCAGCCCCAGCCGCCCGAGGTGGAGACGCTGGCTGTGGACCAGGTGAACGGAAGCAAAATGGTTCGCAAGCATTCGGGGACGGATCGGACTGTTTGAACCCCGGGCGCTTGGAGGGGACTACTCGGCGGTCAACAGAGGGCCGGGGTGCACCTACCCCCTCCCTCCCTCTTCCGAGCGCCCCCCCTCCCCCCGCGTGCATGCCAAAATCTTTCCAGAACTAGAGTCACTTCTTCCTCACCTGTTCCTATTGCAGAGTTATCTACCTAATGAAACGCTGTAGCCAAACACAGGGGTGTCTGCCTGAATTGCTTGCTTCCGATGCGCCTTTCATTTACTCGGGGCGCGCGCCAAGGGGGGCCCCCCCACACCCGGCCCTCCAAAGCCATAAAGAGAAAACCACCGCCAGCCCACCATCAGCCTCGCCGCGCTGTGTATCGGCTCTTAACAGTAAAAGCCTTTCCTAATTGGTCATTTTTAACAGTCGTGGTAAATTCTTATTTTCGGGGGTTGGGGTGGGGCAGCTTGGACACCCCCCCCCCCACACACAGACGGGTGCTGGGGGTGGGGGTGTAGGAAGGAAGAGCAGCCAAAGGAAGGAGACCGCCTACCCCCCCTTCACTCTCTCCGCCTTTCCAGCACGTGGTCTTTATGTTTATCTTCTTTTGTTCACGTTTTTATCAACTGAAGATCCCAACAAACTTTTATTTTGCTAATCCTGGCTAAGCTTCTCTGTGTTCTTTGTTGGAGGTGTGGGGGAGGATCGCCGTTGGGGGGGGGGGCGGAGGAGAAGAGCGGACGCCCACCGTTGTCCAGTGGAAGAGGGGGGGGTCTCTTTCGGAGATGGAGAACGACCGTTGACTTCCCTGAACGGTGCTTCTATGCGCGCTGCTTGGGGAATCCAAGCATGGGTTAACTTTGTCCATTAGCCTAGAGACTGAGTTATGCAAATTGCTGGCCACGCCTCCTCTGACTGGACTGGTCCAGTTTTTTAACTCAGTCCAGCCTAAAGAGACGCAAAATAATTCTCTCTAGGTTACTAGACAGATTCGNAATTCATCATTATTATTTCAGCTTGGATTCCACTTCACTGGATTGAGTTCCCTTCAGGGTAAATATCTCTACAAGGGGTTCATTTCTCAGTTTCAATGACGAGTGGATTTTGGCATTCCCAGAGCCTTCAGGGCCAGGGAACCTCCTTGTTGGAGGCGGGGGTGCACTGTTGTTTACTGTGGGAAGGTCGGTTTGCTGCTTTCATGTTGTCTTGCTGTGGTTGGGGTTCAGTTTGCTGCTCTGCACTGGCCGCTCTCTCCACTGTCTGCTGCACCCGCACCCCCCGAGGTTGCTCGATGAAATGTAGAGCCTGGACACTCCATCAGAGCTTCTGGAGGCTGCGGTCGCTGGCAGGAATCAAGGCAGGCATTTTCCATTCTGCCGACTGCCTTTGTGCCTCGCCGATTTGAATCTCCCGCCTTCGCTGTGCTCGTGGTGGCCATTTTGGGTTGCGGTGGCCATTTTGAAGCTCTTTTTCGCACCAGACCACTAGTCTGGCTGGGCGTGGCTTCAGTTTCCCACTCGCAGTGATATAGAATCATCAGATTCATTGTTCCACAGAGGTCGGTTCGCCACCATTCTACCGGAGCACGAGTTTGATCCCTAACAGCCTCCTGTTTCGATTGCAATCGACATTTGGCATTCGGTGAACATGAGCTTGAGCCCTTTCAGCTTAGCTTACATGGCGGATTGTTCTATTACTGGGGGCAGTGCTGGGGCCTCCACCTCTCCTCAGTTGTCCTCCGATGCCACTGGGGCCTCATCTAGAGTGGACAGGGCTCCCACCAGGGCCACCAGCCTCAGACCCTGGGCCACCTCAGCAGTTCCTGTCAGGGCCACTAAACGCACCAGTAAGTCCAAAAATGGGCCTAGGCGCACGAATCGGAGGCAACAACCATATCCTCGGAGGCAGCCCTTTCATTTTGGGATGTCAGGGTACTCATCCCTCCCCTACACCCCCTTATCTATTAGATCTTTTTCCCAGTCCCAGGACAGGTTTCAGGGCAGGTCCAATACTAGGGACAGAGGTAGAAACCAGCACCAACAACAGGCCCATGCCCGGCGGCCCTTTCGTGGCACCAACAACCAGTCATTTCGTAGATACCAGTGACTCGCTAGAGGTTGGCCCTGTTGGCAGGTGCTTAACTACCTTCATTCGCCAATGGGAAGCCTCAACCTCCGACACCTGGGCTCTTCAGACCGTCAGGCTGGGCCTCACTCTGGAGTTCCTGGCCATTCCCCTGAGAAGTTTAATCAAATGTCCGGTACCAGGTGCCAGCTAAAGCGGCGCCTGATGGACACGGAAATCCAGCATCTCACTTCCATCAGAGCAATAGAACAGGTGCCAAGGGGACAGGAAGGTCTAGGTTTCTACTCCATACTATTCCTAGTTCCCAAGGCCTCGGGAGGATGGCAGGCCATCCTAGACTTGAAACAGCTCAATTTCTACCTCAAATACCAAAAATTCAAAATGCAATCACTCAAGAGTATTCTGGAGAGCATTCACCAAGGCGATCTCCTCACCTCCAACGACATCAAGGAGGCCTACTTGCACGTTCCAATACATCCGGACCATCAAAAGTTTCTGTATTTCCATTTCGTGGGGCATTATTTCCAGTACCGCGCCTTGCCATTCGGCCTATCATCAGCCCCGCGGGCCTTCACCAAAGTGCTAGCGGTGGTTGCAGCCTTGCTGAGGTCGGTTCCCATAAGAGTCAATTGTTATCTCAATGACATCTTAATCTTATCGTTTTCCTGGAACCAGGCCTATCGTGACTTACCGCTGATGATCGACACCCTACAGGATCACGGATTCGTGCTGAACTTTCCAAAGAGCCACCTGCACCCGACCACGTCCCTGCTACATCTCGGGACAATCATCAACTCAGAAACGTGTGGTCTCTCTCTCGAGGGAGAGAGAGCAGAGCCTGCTATCCCTGGTGAGTCAACTGCTCAAGCAGAGGTCACCTTCCCTTGTGGTATTGTCCCAACTTCTAGGGAAGATGATATGCTGCATAGATGTTGTACCTTGGGCACAGTTCCACACATGACCACTGCAGTGGTATCTACTCCCATTCCAAAGGGCTCACACCAGTCATTCTCTGACCAGGGTTCGCTTACTGACCAAGGTGTCCCTATTGCTCCGTTGGTGGCTGTCATCCCGCATCCTCAAGGGATGCCTTTTCAAGGAACCAGAGCGGATTGTGGTTACAACAGATATTGGGCACTGCGAACATCCAAGCAGACTGGCTGAGCACAGCCACAGTGGATCAGACGGAGTGGTGCTTGCACCCAGCCCTGTTCCTAGAACTGTCCCACCGCTTCGGCCACCCACAGGTGGACCTGTTCATCCAACCCGACAACACAAACCTGCCGCGTTATTACATCAGATTCCAGATACCAGGAGCGGAAGGCATTGACGCTCTCCGAAGCCCTTGGCCGGTGGGCCTTCCCGCCTCTGCCAATTGTGCCGCTGGTCATACAGAAGATTCTGATAGAGCAGGTGGAAGTGCTGCTGGTTGCACCGATGTGGCCACGACGCCCCTGGTATGCGGACCTCATCCATCGGTCCGTCTCTTGCCCGTGGAGAATTCCGGACGACCAGATATCCCTCTCACAAGGAGCTCTCATCCACCTGAATCCACAGCTGTTACAGTTAGCCGTGTGGCACATGAGCAGGCGATCCTGAGTCAGCAGCATTTCTCTGATAGGGTCATCTCCACAATCCAGGCGGCACGCCGCCCATTAACAACCC